ATAGTTTGACGGTGTCTCAAGCGAAATAAGCAATAGCTTGTGGATGTCTCAAGCGAAACAAGGGATGTGTCGAGGATGTCTCCAGCGAGATAAGCCATTGTTGAGGATATTTCTATGAAGACTAAACGCCAAGGATGTCTCAAAACGTGCTCGGCTTGGTCTCCTCTTGATCATCTCTTACTTCGAGATTATGCTGAGGTCTGGTGGGCTACTTTGATTATCTCCCCCTGAACCCCGAACTTTATTATCCCCTAGTGTTTATTCTCGAAGGTATTCGGTTATTCCCGCTCTCGGCGCGATCAGCGCCGGTCGACTCCTCGGGGCACGAAGCCCTGGGGCCGCCCGCGGAGGGCGCGGCGGAGACCAGCATCAACCATTGTTTTCCTAAGCAGCCGCCGCCGCGCATGAAGGGGGGGGCGGGGCTGGGGGCGACCCGAGCCCGAGCGAGGAGTGCCGCGGGAGGGGGGGCTATTCATCTTGAAGTGGAGGAGGAGATGCCGCCGAGCGATCGTCGCACCCTTATCTGTTCCTGCGTGATGCGATGGGCGCGGCGCTGATTCTGAAGGGGCCGAGCCGCTTCCCTTCCGGCGCTGTTTCTGCTCCGAATGTGGGCTGCCTTGCCTTTGGCATCTTTGCGCCTCGGGCGAGCTTGGCCGACGGTCGAGTCGACCGCCGTGAAGGCGGCCGCCGCTGACCGGGGGCTCCGCGGCGAGCAGGCGCCAGCGCGCGCGCGAGTTCCGCCCGCGCGGGCTGGCTCGCGTGGACCTGGCAGCCACCCGGCCCAGAGCGCGCTGCGCCAGAAGGCGTCTCTCCCACGGCGCGGGCCGCTCGGCCGAGGATTGGGCCGCCCCGGCCCGCGGTGCGCAGAGCCTCGGCGCCCTTCATCGACGAGGTGTTGCTCCCGCGCGCCCCGGATCAACCGCTTTCGCCCGCCGTCGTTTTGCGCGGGCCAGAGATGCGGCGAGGGGGCGCAGGGCAGGGGCCAGCGGGCCCGCGACCTTGGAGCAAGAAAGCATCGGCCAGAAGACGAAGCAGGACTACAAGGAGGGGCTGGGGCGGTTCGATGCCTTCGGCATGACCCACGGGCACGAGACGGACCCGGCGTCGGCTTGGAGGAGGTGCTGGTCGAGGACAATTCGATCTTCCTCGACGGCTAGTCGAAATTGTTCCAGGGGCCGACGGTGGGGCAGGTCGCGCAGAGGCCGCGCAGAGGCCGGGGTCGCCCACTCTTCTTTTCGCGGTCGGCGGCCTTCAGCGCCGCGGTCAAGGAGGCAGCCGCCATGGTCGGACTGGAGAATTGTTGACGCTTCGCGAATCCCCACCAGCCCATCCAGAAACGATGCCCAGAGGAACTGCCTCGATCCGGGGAGCGGGCAGCACGCAGAGGAAGGCAGTATGAGACATCTTGGGATCTCTTGAGCCATCTTGGAGTTCATTGTGTGCTCGCCCAGGCGCCCTTGGAGTCATCTTAATCAGTGCCCCCCCAGAGGCCAACATGTGGTTAGAACCTTCGTAAAATTAACAATTTGGCATTCTCGCCGAGGCCTCTTGCAGCATCTTGGGTGCTTCTGGGGGGTCTCTTGGGGCCTCTTTGGGGTCTCTTGGGTGCCTCCTGGGTGCCTCTTGGGGGCCTCTTTGGGCCATCTTTGGGCCATCTTGGGACCTCTTGGGGCCTCCTGGGCGCTTCTTGGGGCCATCTTGAAGGAAATCGATCAAACAAGAAGGGAGATTCAATTGGGGTCCCCCCTTCAGGAGGCCAAAATGGGGCTTGAACCTTAGTGAAATCAATGATTTTGGCTTCCCTGCCGAGGCCGTTTTGAACGCCCTGACGACTCGCGACCCACCCCCTCCAGGTGCATGGGGAGGGGGTATGGGGGAGGGGTTAATTTCTGTTCGCAGTGAGTTGTCCACTCCACTGCTCGCGCAAACATCCCACCCACCCACCCGCAAGTTGGCTTGCAAAATTTATTAAGACCGTGACGGTGGGTACCAAATGGCACTTGGCAGCGACAGCGACGCCGACGACGACAGCGACAACGACGACGACGACGCCGCCGACAACGACTACGACGACACCGACGACGTCTCCAACGACTTCGACGACGCCGACAACGACGACGACGACGACGACGACGACACCGACGACGACGACGACGCCGACGACGACGACGATGACAACGACGACGACGATGACGACGCCGACGACGACGACAACGACGACACCGCCGACGACGACGACGTCAACGACGCCGACGTCGCCGACGACGACGACGACGACGGCGGCGACGACGACGACGCCGACGTCGACGACGACGCCGACGCCAACGACGACGACGAAAACGACGACGACGTCGACAATGAAGACGACGACGAGGGAGGAGGGAGGACGACGACGGCGACAGCGACGACAACGGCGACAACGACGACAACGAGGAGGGAGGACGGCGACGACGCGAACGACGAAGAAGAAGGACGGCGACGTCGACGGCGACAACGACGAGGGAGGAGGGGAGACGACGACGACAACGACGACGACGACGACGAAGGCGACGAAATAGGAGGGACGACGACGAGACGCCGACGACGGACGACGACGACGACGACGAGGGAGGAGGAGGAAGGACGACCACGGCGACAACGACGACGGAAACGACTACGACGCCAAAGAGGACGACGACGACGAACACGAGGAAAGACAGAGGACGACGTAGGCGACGACGACGACGACGCGGGAGGAGTGAGGACGGCGACGACGACGACGACGATGACGACGCAAGAGCGCGCGCGCACGCTTTTGTTGAAAATCCGTGTTGCGAAACCTTGTGTTTTTTGTATGTTTTTTGGGCACACGATTTTGACATCCTTCCGAAACCGATGGGTTTTGAAGGATTTCGGCATACGCGCGCGACGACGCGCGCTTCTGCACTTCGTCCCATTTTGTTGCAGAGGATTCTCGCAACGTCACACGCGCAAGGGCGTTCGACAGATTTCGACATGCGCGCGCGTGAAGCCTGTTTGGTAGCATTTTTTAAATCTTGAAAAACCGATTCTAAGATTTCGCAAGAGCTCGCGCGTAAGCTTTTTAAGCAAGTCAGTGTTGCGAAACCCTGTGTTTTTGTATGTTGTTTTGGAAACTCGATTGCGAAATCCTTCTGGCACCGAAAGTTTTTGAAGGACGTCGGCATGCGCGCGCGACGACGCGCGCGTGCGCACGTCGTCCCATTTTTTGCAAAGGATTAGCGAACAAGTCTGATGTGAGAACAAACAATGTCCCCGCGCATCGTTTTTTTGTTATATAAAAAAGGGAACCTCAGGGGAACCGATACCGGCCCCCTGGGATAGTGTAAGTTCATATTTCGGATGGATATGTGGTCAGAACCATATGATTTACATACCCGAAGAGGGGAACGGATAACGCCGAGGGGGGGTAGAGTCTATTGACTTTTTTGAAAGGAGGATACACCCCTCCCCGAAAGGGAAGATGGAGTGATGGAAGAGGAAACTCTCTAAACCACCGACGGCCGGAGGGCTGGTGGGATTGGGAGCTGGCGCCCTGCGCCCCGCGCCACATGGGGCCACCCCGCGATTGGCTCACCAAGGCCAGGTCGCTGGAGGCCAGCAAGCGCGCGGGCCGTTGGGCTATCGGGCTTCAGCGCCAGGCGCTGCGAGAGGGGTTCGCGCGCGGTGCGCAGGCTGGCGGCCCCGGGTGGATCGCGGGCGCCAGCTGTTCCTGGCCGCGGCGGAGGCGCAGTCCGAGCGCGCCCTCAGGAGGGGGCGCGCGGGCAGCTTCGCACCCGGCCCCGGAGGGCTTCCCGCGAGTCCATTTGAGCCTTGCCAGTCTAGCCGGCCATTGTCGTCGGGGCTTCTGCGCGGGGGGCACAGGCTTCGCGACGGCCGTGTTTCGCAGGGGATGGCTTGCAAGGAGGGACTTGGGGTCGGTGGGGCTCGCCGACCCAGGGTTCCGCCAAAGGAAAAATAATGTGCTCGGCTCTGGATTTCCGACTTTGGGCCAGTTGGCTCCTCCTCGGGCTTCCATGCAGTAGTTTATCGGCCGCCCCCCGCGGGCCGCGCGCGCCCGGGTTTCTCGGGCGGGCCCGTGCGTTCTCGTCATCAATCTGCCGCGGGCCTCCCAAACCGTCCAGCGCTGGATGCTAAGGTAAAGCAGAACAAAACGCTGCTGAAAGTTTCCGCTATGATGATGAGAGCGCGTCAGGCACAACTGTATCGCTTCTCGGGAGAACCTTCGTTCCTCGCGGCTGTGGAGACAGCCCCAGTTAGCCCATGAATTCCAGCAAACATCCGTCACGCACACAGTGCAGTGCACTTTCGGGACGCCCTGGCGAAAGGAAACCACCCTGGGCAACCGGGAGAAAAACTGGCGGCGCAATGCTCAGGATCTAAGTGTATTCGGGCGTGCGACATCAGGTCCTCGAGGGCAAGGTCCCTGATCAAATTATGGACTCAAGTCGCCGAGCTTTGCCCTGCGCGCCTTGTTTCCCTTTCTAGCCTTCCTGTATTTACAGGTCTCTCGCAAGTAAGGGGGGGCGCCTCAATCGCCAGGTCGCAGTTATTGGCGGTTGTTGGTGAGCTCATTCGGGCTGGCTCTCTCGGTTGGCTTTCGCCGGGTGCTGCAGCAATCGAAGCGCCACTGCGAGAATAGTATTGGACCGCCTGGGAAACATGTAGCAGCCCTGGAGAACGTAGCCAGTGCAGTGGGACAGAGCGCGCAGTTCTATAGACCTCCATGCCTGGCCGCAACTTGCGGCTCAAGTGTTTGTTTTCGTGCTGCCTGAAGCTAGCCCAATTCGTGCCTCATCCGTAGTTGTCCAAACTGCGCGGAAGTATGTGCAAGGCTGTTCGAGCTAGCTCTTTCGGTTAGCTTTCGCCTGGTGCTGAAGCAACCGAGGCACCACTGCGAGAATAAACTTGGCCCGTCCGGAAACTAGTGCATCCTCCTCCTCATCCTCATCCTCTTCCTCGGCGTCGTTGCCTTCGGCGAGGTCCCGGAGGTTTTCACCTGCCTCGCCCTGGACGCCGCTGCGGCCGTGTCTATCCTGCTGTCGTTCCCGCACATGAGCCAGTGGTGCCCTGTGCGCGCCGCCGCCGCCCCGCGCCTTTGCAACAGCAGGGCAAAGGTTCCTCGCCATTCGCAGCCTCCAGGGGCCGTTGTCGGACCCCAGGGCCGTCAAAAGCGGACCCGGGACCAACTTCCATCCCCCCAAGGGCAGGGAAATTGTGCCCCGAGCGCGCTGCCGCCGCCGCGAGCCGCCGAGGGGTCACGGTCGGCGGCGCTGCTCCTAGACCGCCGAAAGATTAATGTTTCATCGCTCTCGGCCTCCGTGGGCCCTCTTCGGGCCCCCAGAAAATCGGCACTTCCATCTCGGAGGTGGAACCTTCGTTCTGGCTGGGAGAAACGTCCGGGATTCGGGAACAATCTTCACAATTGTCATCGAACTTCCTATTTCCCTACCTAGGCTCTGCCTAGAAGGGTTCTTACCCTATGTGCTTAAGGGGCCGGGCAGTGCTACCCGCCCCGGGCGGTTCCCCCGGCATCCGCCCCGCGGTTCCCCCAGCTGCGCCCCCTGGGTTCACCCAGCTTAGCTAAGCTTAGCTTAGCTTGGCTTAGCTTAGCTTATATCATATCATACTAGCTTAACTTACCTTAGCTTTGCCTAGCCTAGCTTAGCTTAGCTTAGCTTAGCTTATCTCATCTTAGCTTAGCATAGCTTAGCTTAGCTTAGCTCAGCCTAGCCTAGCCTAGCCTAGCTTAGTTTAGCTTAGCATAGCTTAGCTTAGCATAGCTTAGCTTACCTTAGCTGAGCTTAGCGCAGCGCAGCACAGCATAGCGCAGCGCAGCATTAGCACAGGATATCATAGCATAGCATAGCCAATCATATCATAGCATAGCATAGCATAGCATAGCTCAGCATAGCATAGCATAGCATAGCGCATAATAGCATAGCGCATAATAGCATAGCATAGCATAGCATTGCTCAGCATAGCACAGCGCAGCATAGCATAGCATAGCATAGCACAGCACAGCATGCGTAGCATAGCGTAGCATAGCATAGCATAGCATAGCATAGCATAGCATAGCGCAGCACAGCATCCACTATTGCTGCTGCTATATATATACACCTGCGTCGGTGGTTCTGGCGCTACTACTAGTACTACTACTACTACTACTACTACTACTGCTACTACTAGTACTACTACTACTACTACTACTACTACTACTACTACTACTACTACCACTACTACTACTACTGCTACTGCTACTGCTACTGCTACTGCTACTGCTACTGCTACTGCTACTGCTACTGCTACTACTACTACTACTACTACTACTACTACTACTACTACTACTACTACTACTACTACTACTACTACTACTACTACTACTACTACTACTACTACTACTACTACTACTACTACTACTACTACTACTACTACTACTACTACTACTACTACTACTACTACTACTACTACTACTACTACTACTACTACTACTACTACTACTACTACTACTACTACTACTACTACTACTACTACTACTACTACTACTACTACTACTACTACTACTACTACTACTACTACTACGCTACTACTACTACTACGACTACTACTACTACTACTACTACTACCTACTACTACTACTACTACCACTACCACTACCACTACCACTACCACTACCACTACCACTACTACTACTACTACTACTACTACTACTACTACTACTACTACTACTACTACTACTACTACTACTACTACTACTACTACTACCGCTACTGCTACAACTGCGACGATGAGGAGAAGGAGCAGGACGGCGTTTACCCGCTCCTACTAATGTTGCTTTCCTAGAGGCTCCAACTCCTAGGTAGGGTCGCACTGGGATAATTGGAGGATTTCGAATGCCTGGAAAACATCGGTCCAGGACGAACAGCTTCCCATTCGCAGGGGAATGGTCGAGAGATTTGGGGCCACTTGCACGCTGCTGGGAGGGACCACGGACGGCGGCGACGGTGACGACGACGCAAACGTCCTTGTCCTCGTGGTTCGTGGCCGCCGCCGCCGCCGCCGTCGTCGTCGTCGTCGCCGCCACCGGTGTGATCGCTCACGCGTGTGCCAGTGGTGGTCTGTGCGCGGGGTCGCCGCCTGTGCCGCCGCTGTCGTCGCCGCCGCCGCCACCCCCGACCTCCGAAGCACTTTCTTGTTCGATCGCGGGCTATTCCTCGATCTCGACCTTCCAGGGGCCCTATTCGGGCCCCGGGGCCATCAGCGATGGATTCAGGATGGCAAATTCGAACCCTGGGGAGAAGGTCGAGCAACGACAGCGGCCTGGCGTCGGCGGTTACAGTTACCATCGTCGTCATCGTCCACGTCTTCGTCGTTCGTAGCCGTCGCCGTCGTCTCCGCCGCCGCTGCTGTCTTTCTTGAGCACGGGCCAGTGGTGCCAGTGCGCGTCTGGTCCCACACTTCCTTGTCTGTCTCCTCGTGCTCTTCATCCTCCCCGCCCGTCTTGCCGAAATCGAACCCCTGGTTCCTCTCCCCGCTCGTCTTGCCAAAGTCAACCCCCGTCCTAGGTTCCTCTGCAACGCTCTCGTTCCTCTCCCCGCTCGTCTTGACAAATTCAACCATGCCTGTGCTATTCTCCGCTCCCGATCGGCTGTCTGGAGCCCGTTCGGATAGCCTTCAGTTTACGACCTAGGACGGATGATTAGGAACCGTAGGCGAGACAAGAAAAGCTCGTGCCATGAACGGTTTGATTCGGACCCACCGGGCAAAGCAGGCCTTAGTGGAAAGTATGTCTTAGCTTGCACATATGCAGAGAAACCCAGAGAGCATCAGCTGCAGGACTTTTAGGCAGCAGGGGTTCGTCGGGATCCAGTCTCAGAGGAAGTCCTGGATCTCCCCCGCCTCCCAGTCATATTTTTACTAGGTCTGCGAGGGGCAGGATCCCCTACTGGGATCAGAACGGATGGACCGCCGGCTTTTCGCCCGAATGATCCAGAGATCCCAAGATATTAAACGATGTGGCCAGTAACTTTCTCCTGGACTTTGGCGGCCATGACTGGACGGCCTCATAGTCTCTGGCGCTTTGTGTTCAGGTTTGGGTCCACGGAACCGCTTCGGGGAGTGTTTCATCCTCCTTTCTGTTCGACGATCTAGATTCTCGAGTCTCCAGTTGGGTATGGCAGTTCGACCCTCCTACCTGGGGAGGGGTTTTCCAGTCATCCTCCTCCCCCCCGTCAGTCTCTCCCTCCGCTTCCACATCGGAAATGGAGTTCGTGAATGAATCCTTTCGAGGTATCGCTCCACCACGTGCTACATCAAGCCGTTAAGAGTCATAACCCGCATAATCCCGCGGAGTTCACAGTCCCTGTTCGAGAGTCGAAGTTTTGGGCGTCGTGATTGCTTCGATTCTATGTCCCAGCGTCGTGCCCTCGATGTTCCACGGTGCGAGCAATACACCTGCAGTATATCTAAAGGCTGCCGCCTCTGCCGCCGACCGCAATTGAGCGACGAATGTTTGATACGGTTGTTGTCGGGGTGCTTTTCCGAGCACGGCAGGAAGGGTTATGAGTCTCCTGATTCTCTGTTGCATCGCGGACTCCTTCTGGTGGCAGTTTTGGAGCCTCGTGGGGTCGCTGTTGGGTCTCTTGGGGGTTTCTTGCAGCCTTTTGGGGCCTCTGGGGTGCCTCTTGGGGCCTCCTGGGGGCCTCTTGGGGCGGAACGCTACGATTTGTGGTTTGTGTTCCTTCTCTTGGGCCACTTTTGGGGCTGTCATGGGATTCTCTGGGCGGCCTCTTGGGCAGTGCTGGGATGGCATTCGGGACATCGGGAACGCCAGAATCTTTGAAACAACGAAGGCAAATCAATGTGTTGTGCCTCTTCAGGTCCTGCTGGGAGGCATATTCGAGGCTTCTTGGAACATCTTGGGGGCCTCTTGGGCCATCTGGACACCACATAGGGCGTCTTGGGGCGATCTTTGAGCAGTCGGGACGTTTGGGGCCGTCTTGGGTGCTTTTTGGGCCCTGTTGTCATCGCTCCGAAACAGTCGCGCGAGAGACCGCGAGAACCCCCCCATGACAAGATTTCGCGATGTGGGGTTTTGGATTCTGAACGACTCCTCAAGAGTACGGACTGAGGTTGAGAGGATGATGGTACGAACCTGAGGGCACGCCCATTCCGTGCCCAGAAGCACGGTGGCGGATCTACAGAACCATGATACTTCGATTATCATGGTTCTGACGGATCGCATCGCAGTTCCGAGCTCCAATGGGGAAGCCGTCTGGGAGTATTTCAAATGTTTTTTATTGGAATCGTGGGGGGTGGCAGTGACTCGGGTTAGCGGTTGGTAGATTGGGCGAGGTGGCAAAATTTATCCAGGAGCAGCGATGACCCCATCCCCGAAGGGGAAAAATGGGGTTCGACAAGGAATCGCGATGGATCATTTCCTGCCCAGAAGGCGGGGGAGGATTATGAGCTAGGAGATCCCATACGAGAAATTGTCTGGGTCGGTGGCGGCGAAGCCAGCATCGTTCTGTTTGGTCCCTGAGGTGCCGTTTGCGAGGCGGTCCGGTCGGTCTGGCCTGGGACATTGGGTTTCGAGATGCCGCGCCGCTGTCCTGAGGCGGTCCAGCCCTTTTGGCTTGAGACATCCTCGCAGTTGTAGGCTTCGAGGTACGCGAGAGATTCCTCCAGCTTCTCCTCGCACGCTCTCGCAACTCAGGGCTCATGGATGCCCTGATCTGAACTGGTCCAGCCAGTTTCGCTTCACATTTCCTCACAACTATGGGCTCGGATATGACTTGGCCTGCGGTCGTCCAGCCATCTTCGCCCGATCCATCCTCTTGACTCTGGGTTCGTCGATGCTCTTGCCTCACGGTATCCGATCCCGTTCCTCGCTGTTCTGGGTTTGCAACTGCAGTGGACTGTTCGTTTCGCTTGAGATCTCCTTGCAATTCCGGGTTCACGCACTTCGGTTTTCACCTCACGTGGTCCCGGTCTTTTGTCGCCTGGGCGATCCTCGGGGTTGTGTTTTCAGGGAAGGCTTTCACAAAACTCCAACACAAGTGCAGGTAAAGTCACGCCATAGGAGAAGGAGGAGGAGGAGGACGAGGAGGAGGAGGAGGAAGAGGAGGAGGAGGAGAAGGAGGAGGAGGAGGAGGACGAGGAGGAGGAGGCGGATGGAGAGGGGAAGGAGGAGGAGGAGGAGGAGGAGGAAGAGGAAGAGGAGGAGGAGGAGGAGGACGACGAGGAGGAGGAGGAGGACGAGGAGCAGGAAGGCGGAGCAGAGGCGGAGGGGGGGACGGGGCCAGGACCCCAGCCATGATCGCGTCGTAATAGAATCACGACGGGCGGTTTTTGTCTATTTGCGGCCTCGTGGGGCCCTCGCCGGGCCTCGGGAACGCCAAAAAAAAACTCGGGACGAAAAATCGGTCCCGGGGAAAGGGTTGTGATTTTCAGGGACGCCGTCCTGAAAAAATCAAGACGTCGCATGTCTGGGACTCCGAGGTCCGAGGAGTAGCGGTATCGGTACCTCTTGGGTTCCCCAAGGACGGGGCTAGGATGTAGGCCTTCCAGATGGGGTCCGAGGATCGCGCCGCATCGCCGATGCATCGACAATGCGGCGCGATGCGCAGCGTGATGTTCTCCATGGGAGTGGATGTAATCGTGCCGACTTAGCGTCGAATTAGCGTCGATTAGCGTGGACGGGGTTAGTCACAGAAAACGCAATAAACATAGGCGTTCGGCGTTCCGTGTGGAGTTTTTGGATCCGCGCCTGGGCCCCCCCCCCCCCCGCGGCGCCTCCGGCGCCGCCCCTGGAGCTTTCCGCGCGCCAGGGAAAGAGGTCCAGCGCAGATCCACGAAATCCGCGCGGAGTACCAACAATTTATGTTTATCCTGTTCTTTCTTTTCGCCGTGACGAGGAAATCGGACGGGGCTAGGATGGGGCTCGGATTTTGCTGCTCTTGGCGGCTGCTTTTGGCGACTTGTCAGGACCCCTTCCGTCCTGGTCCGCTTGCGCGACTGGTGGAAGCAGATCGACTCAGCACCGACCAAGACCCAGACCCCCCCCTCGCTCACCCTAGGGCCAGACGCCAGAACGCAGAATAAAAAAAACGCGATCTTTCGACGGCCTCGATCGGACAGGTTTTGGACGAACATAGATATGTTGCAGAGCGTTCCGGGGCGTTCTCAGAGCGTTCTGGAAGGCTCTGAAAGAGCTGCGGCGCCCGAGGCGTCCTCTAGAGCCGCCACATCTCAGAGACTCGCAAGTCGGTCGCCATCCACTTTTGCAGGTCCACGCGGGACACTTTTATCGGAGCTGGGCCCCACTCTGGCGGCGCCACCAGCGCTGCATCTTGCGCGCTCCGTGCGCCAAGGGAGGGGGGCCCAGCGCCGATCCAAGATAAATCCGCGTGGCCCTCTGACAGCTTCGTGTCCAAGTTGATTCAGAAACCAACATATATGGTGATAGACGTGCCTCTGTGTGGTGCAGCACCCTCTCGAAGCCAGGCCCCTCTGCAAGCTGATTCAAATCACATCCCTTGTGTTAAACGTGCTCCCGTGTGATGCAGCACCCTCTGCTAGGCAAGGCCCGTCCCCAAGCTGATTAAACATGCATATTTGGTGCTAGACGTGTCCAACTGTGGTGCAGTACCCTCAGCTAGACAAGGCTCCTCCCCAAGCTGGCTTCTGAAAATACATCTTTGATGCTAGACATGCCCCTGTGTGGTGCAGCACCCTCTGCTAGGCAAAGCCCTTCCCAAGCTGATTCAAAACAGCATCCTTGGTTGTAGACGCGCCCCACTGTGGTGCAGCACCCTCTTCTAGGCCAGGCCCCTCCCCAAGCTCATTCAAAACACATCCTTGGTGTTAGACGTGCCCCTATGTGGTGCAGCGCCCTCTGCTAGTCACGGCACCTCCCCAAACTGACTCAACACACATCATTGGCGTTAGACGTGCCCCAGTGTGGCGCAGCACCCTCTGCAAGGCAAAGCCCTTCCCCAAGCTGATTCAACACGCATCCTTGGTGTTAGACGTGCCGCTGTGTGGTGCAGCGCCCTCTGCTAGGCAAGGCCCCCCCCCAAACTGATGTAGACAAAAATATCATTGGTGCTAGACGTGCCCCAGTGTGGTGCAGCACCCTCTGCTAAACAAGGCCCCTCCCCAAGTTGATTAAAACATCATTGTAGACGTGCCCCTGTGTGGTGAAGCACCCTCTGCTAGGCAAGGCCCCCTCCCCAAACTGATTCAAAACACATTTTTGGTGTTAGACGTGCCCCCTTTGCGGTGAAGCACCCTCTGCTAGGCAAGGCCCTTCTCCAAGCTGATTGAGTGTATCATCCCTGGTGTTAGACGTGCCTCTGTGTAGTGCAGCACTTTCTGCTGGGCAAGGCCCTTCCCCACGCTGATTAAACAAGCGTCATTGGTGTTAGACGTGCCCCTGTGTGGTGCAGCGCCCTCTGCTAGGCAAGGCCCCTCCCCAAGCTGATTTAATCAAAAACACCCTTGGTGCTAGACGTGTCCCAGTGTGGTGCAGCACCCTCTGCTAGACAAGGCCCCTCCCCAAGCTGATTCAAACAGCATTATTGGTTCTAGACGCGCCCCTGTGTGGTGCAGCACCCTCTGCTAGGCAAGGCCCTTTCCCCAAGTTGATTCAAGTCACATCCTTTGTGTTAGATGTGCCCCTGTGTGGTGCAGCACCGTCTGCTAGGCAAGGCCCCTTCCCCAAGCTGATATAAACAACAACATCCTTGGTGCTAGACGTACCCCAGTGTGGCGCAGCACCCTCTGCAAGGCAAGGCCCCTTCCCAAGCCGATTATAACAGCATCTTTGGTTCTAGACGTGCCGCTGTGTTGTGCAGCACCAGTTGGCAAGGCCCCCCCCAAGCTGATTCAAAACAACATCCTTGGTGTTAAACGTGTCCCTCTGTGGTGTAGCACCCTCTGCTAAGCAAGGCCCTTTCCCCAAGCTGATTTCTTATACGTAGCACCCCGCAATTGCGGATAAGAGTGAGGGGGCGGGCGCGGGCGACGCGGGCGTCGAGCCGGCGGACCTCGTGGCCCCCACCTTCCTTGTCGATGGCGCCCTCCTCCTCCTGCTGCTCCTGTTCCGCGTCCGCGTCCTCATCGTCGTCGTGCTCTGACAAGTTCAGCGCGGGGGCATCGCAGGTGGGCCACCCGGAAAACAGCCCGCCGCAGGCGCCGAATTTTTGGCTTGTTCAGTGAACGTAGTGGGTCGCGGGTGGGTCGCGGGCTCTCCACCTCCACATGGAACCTATTAATATACAGCCCGCCGCAGGCGCCGAACATTTTGATTTGTACACTGAACGCGGTTTGGGTCGCAGGTTGTCCACCTGGAACGACTGCAAAAGAAGCCCGCCGCAGGCGCCGAAGTTTTGAATTGTTCAGTGAACGTAGTTTGGGTCGCGGGTGGGTCGCGGGCTCTCCACCTCCACCTGGAAGGAATTCAAAAACGGCCCGCCGCAGGCGCCGACCATTTTGATTTGGACACTGAACGCGGTTCGGGTCGCAGGTGGGTCGCAGTTCTCCACTTGGAACGAATGCAGAAGAAGCCCGCCGCAGGCGCCGAAAATTTTGGGTGGGTCGCGGGGTGGGTCGCGGGTGGGTCGCGGGTGGGTCGCGGTGGGTCGCGGGTGGGTCGCGGGCGCGGTTTGGGTCGCGGGTGGGTCGCAGGTTCTCCACCTGGAAAGAATGCAAAAGAAACCCGCCGCGGGCGCCTGAGTTCAACTCATAGACTTCAGCGTGCCTTTATTCATCAAATGCGTAGCATGCTCTCTCCTCGTCTTCCCTCCTCGTCTTCCCTCCGCGTCCTCCCTCCTCGTCCTCCCTCCTCGTCCTCCATCCTCGACCTCCATCCTCACCCTTCTTGCTCGTGGTCTCTCCTCGTTTCGACTTTGAGGCTCCTGCTCAGCCATTAATCTGCCGAATGTAAGTTGCACCAGGCACCTCGAGGTTCAGCCGCAGCCTTTGCACGATCTTGGCCACCGCTGCGTTGTGGTTGCAGCGACGAGTCGTTCGTGTGCATATGCCAGCGCTGAGGGTGCTTCACACTTGGAGCTCGCCTCGCCAAGCTGGCTGCCCCATGCGTTCTTTTCGTTGAGCCTCAAAAGACCGAGAGCTAGCGACTGCTCGGCAAGGGTATCTACCCTGATAAGATTGGGGTCTCAATCGGGCCATTATTCTTCTTCTCCATCTATGTGGGCTACTTTGCCGCCGGCTCACGCATTTCAGTTCTGTCCCTCGGGGCCATCATCGGCCCCGCGGCCGCAGGTTTCAGCTGCGTTATCATGGAAGCTGGAAGCCTCGAGCTTGCTCGCCAATGCCATCACTGTGGCGTGAGCATCTCGGCGCCATGAATTGGTGCCAAATTCCTGGCCGTCCTCATTTGTGGCATGCTCGTTGCGTGCGTTGGCGTTGCATTTTGGTGGGTCTCTGTCCAGTGGCGCTCCTCCAGGGACACATTGGATCCCAACGTTCCTTCATATTGCTGCAAGATGAGGTCGTTGGCCGTGGATGTTGAAGAAACAGATGCTCCTTCAGGAGCCTCGTCCTCCCTTCCTCCTCGTGCTCCCTCCTCGCCCTCCCTCGTCCTGCATCCCTCGTCCCTCGTCGTCCTCCCCCTCTCTTTTCGTCCTCCCTCGTCATCCCTGATCCCGCCTCGTCCTCCCTCCTCCGTCCTCCCCCGATCTTGCCCCCCCTGTCTTGGGCAGGCCCTGGCGGCGGTCCGCAGTGATGGTTTTCTTTGTCTCCGCCTCCACCTCCTCTCTCCTCCCCCGTCCTTCAGAATTGGTCCAAGACCGATGCTTCATCCCCCAGATCTCCAGGACTCAGACCTCGAGTGTTTAGAAAAACAAGACAGAGGTTTTGACGACAAGTTTCCGCCTTTGCGGGCTCTCGCCCAGCCCCGCGAGCGCCCGAAAACGGCTCGGGATGAGAAGGCCAACCTGGGGGAAGGGGGAAGGGGTCGGTACTTCGGGGACGCAGCATTGAAAAATCAAGAAGTCGGATCTCTGTGCCCTCGCCTGGAGCGGCCTCCCGGTCAGGTACGTCTGGCTCGGCAGCATCGCCTTCTTCGGCGGGGAGGGCCACCAGCGCTCGAATTGCAGAAGTCGGCATCGGGGATCGAACTTCGATGATCAAGGTCTTTGGGCACGTTTTCGCCCTTTGGGGGCTTTGGGGCGTCCTCGAAGCCTCTAGTCGTCACGGCTAGAAACACCTCGAGATTTTGGCCAGAACGCACTCCTCGATTCCCTTAGGGGCAAACATTTGTATAATCATGAGTTTCCGGAGCTGCGCCCGGATGTCTTGGGTCGGCGCCGAGCGGCCCGTGGATGGTTGAAAGAACGGGAAATTTGCTATCCAACATGCCCGTGGATTTATTCACCAGGAGGCCCGGCGGAGAAGCGATCTCCAACGCTGGCGGAGAACTCGTCGCGGGCGTCCAGGAGTCTAGCTCAGTTCAGAGGGGCCCAGAGATTCTGCGGCTCGAAAGGTCTGGACGGCCAGTTGTTCTCCAGTGGAGCCACTTTAGGGCCCTCGGGCCACCAAGACACGGCTCAGGGTGGAAGATTGGCCCAGGGTTCGAGAGGTTTGGGGGGCCCATGTCTCGAAAAGATCGCGCCGTGGGATCTCAGGGGAAGGCAGCGGGTTGGGGTGACCTGACCAGTCATAAGCAGAAGCATACTCTGGACGGTTTCTCCGCTGGGCGCCAGGCCCCCTTCCCACATCTCCAGAGGATCGAAAGCTTCCATGTCGAATGTCGAACTTACATGCTGGGAAAGAAACACACTTGTACCGTCGAAGAAGAGAGCCTCCAGAATGGAGGTCGATCGGTCGATCGTTCACTTGAGAGGCTTTCGATCCTCTGGGGTACTCCCCAGCGTCCAGCTTCGCCGCCCCTTCCAGGATGTGGCGGGGAGAGGGTGTCCAGCGCTGGCGGAGAAGCTGTCCGCGGGCGCCTTCTCGTTGCCCAGACTTCCAGAGCCTTGGACAACAGGGCGGAGATATCTCACAATCCTGCGTCTGAGGCCCGTTGACGGGCGCGGCGATGGCACGTCTTTGCACTTCGTTTGTTGTTGTTTTGGGTTGCTTAGTGCCGATTGGCACTGCACGTGCAGCCCCGAGGACCGCCTCTGATAAAGGACCCCGCCGCAACCACCGGTTGCTTTCACAAGCAGGGGAGAACTCCTCGGGCACAGCCTAATTTGGAAACTATCTGGGACGATATAACGGCCCCTGGGAGGTTGTCGAGAGTTCGGGGGGCCCGCGATTTGAAAACACAACGTTGGGTGTCTGAATCTGCTGAATTTTCATCTCCAAGGAGTAATTGTTGATCCCCCTGCCTGGTGACCAAATTGTTTTTCAATTCCAGTGCTTCTCCCGGGGCTCGCACCGTGTCTTTTACAAGGAATGTGTGGGGTCACCAAGATATGTTATTGGCCCCCCCTTGACAGCAACAACGGCTCCCGCCTGATATTTCCTTACAGTGTATTCAGAAATCGCGCTTTGGCGCGGGACTTCCTCACAGAGTATGCACGGATCACGCTCTCACGTGGGACTTCCTCCCAACGGATTCAGACGCCGCGCCCTCGACGCTCAGGACTCGCGCTTGCGCTGGCGCTTGCGACTTCCTCGCGATTCATGATGTGCTCACGCTTCAGCAACCCACCTGCTCGACCTGACCGCTTGGGCCCACCTTCCCGACCCGTCCGTTAGGTTCTACCCGCCCGATCAGCCCGTCTGGTTATGCCACGTGTTTTCTGCTCCTGGAGTCTCCCCGGTTAGATCTGTGCAACAATATGATATCGCCGACGTTGCCTTCGTCCGAGTCCTGGGCACTCCATCGTGACGGTATCGCACAAGTTTGAAGATGCAGTGGGCCCTGATAACTTCCGGTGAATCGTATCCCGCTGCTGCACAATCTGTTTGCCACATTGGTGCACAGGTTTCACCCACTTCTCGACAAGCACCAGACTAAGGACCAAACCGGTTTCAGAAATGGTCATAGTTCTGCGCACCACATGTTTGCAGTGTTTTTCTTGAAGACTGCGCCACGGTTGGCAACATAACTTTGCGTTCTCGGCGCAAGGCATCAAGAAAACGCTCGGTTGCGTACAACACGATTCCTTATGGCGAATTCTTGTACGCACATCTATTTTCCACACTTCGTGTTCTACGCCGACAGCCCAATTGCGGACGGATTGCTTGGGTAAGCCGTACGACATTCAGCAAGGAACTAGTTGAATCGACTCTCTCAGCGCTCTCTTGCTTAATTCTCTCCTTGGGATCGTTGTCGGCGAAGTCAAACTGTCAAACTGCAGTGGTTGACGAAGGTCTGGGGTTTGAAAGTGGGCTTCACGGGCTTCACGCAGCTGACCAATTTGCGCTTCGTTGGCGGCATATTCCGTGTCACAGCCACTGCGGAAATCAGAGTCGCAGCGGCCGAGGTTGGCCTCTAGCTGCACCCCGACGCAATGTGACGCGCGGAAGTGGCTGACCGAAAGAGGCGGACGTGCACGCGGACGGCATGTGAATTGAGCTTGGTCTTTGTAGCGGTAGCGTGCAATACCTGGGGGATGCCAGTGGGTTTCGATCACCCCCGCGAGGTTCAGATCGACAATCGCATCCAGAACGCTTGGACATTTTTCATGCATCGCAAGGCAGAATTAACTGATCGTCAGTGCTCGCTGGACTCCCTGCTCAGATTGTTTGATTCCGTTGTGACGACAACCACGCTGCAGTGTTCGGCGATCCGGGCACTTATCTGAGAGCTCGAAGATAGGGTCTGGAAAACACAGCGAAAGATGTTGCGGATGATCGCGCGCATTACCAGGCGCAAAACATCCCCGATGCGCATGTCATTTTCTTCATCGTCGTGTTCGTCGCACTCAGTTTCTTCTTCCCATGGAACATCCGGCTTTTGCACGCGCGAAGATGAGAAGGAGGGCATTTGTCTTGAACCGTGGCTTGTGCTTACTCATCGGGCGACCTCCGAAGCGGGGGCAACGGTGACCAAATCTGGGTTTCGTGGTTGGAAAACGGAACACGGAAAAACAGTTGTCAAATGGGAACGATAGATGGCCTTTGAAATTTCATCATGGGCGCAGGTCGCTAACAGTTGGGAGCCAGCCGGTTGCGTGCGCAGGCAAGAGGGTTTGCGAAAACGCTGGTCAGACAGCATCAGGAGCTACGGGAATTTGGGGGTTGAGGCACTTCCGCGCCGCCCTGCTCAGGCCCGTGTTTCCGGACCCGTTGGTCGATCGCGCGCTCGTTCGCTCCTAAAGAAGTTCCTGGGGTTGCCGATTGGCTCCCGGGAAGCCCAGCGATAAATGAGAGATTCTTGGGTGGCTCTTCAGGGGATATTGGGAGTGTCTTGAGAGGCTCCTGAGAAAGGTTGGGTAAAGCTCCCGGTTGGCTCTTGAGGGTCCTGACAGGCTCCTGCACCGTTTCTTGAGATGTTATTGGATGTTACTGCTTGCTTGTCGGCCGGACAGTGGGAGTTTTTTTGGTTTTCCAATGCGCGTGATATTTTTGGATTGTTGCTGGCATGGCCGCGGCAGTGCGAGCGCGGCCGCCATGGTCCCTGCGGGAGGGAGTCTGGACCCTTAGATTGATTAGAGCCCGAAAGCGAGACGCGATTGGGGACGGAACCGGAAATCCAGGAACCCCCAGAAAGGAGGTCGAACCTCCCTTCCGCAGGTTTTTAAATTCTCCTAGCGGGGCGGCGAGGGAGGACTGAAGGAGTGAAGAGGTGGAGGAGGAGGAGGAGGAGGAGGAGGAGGAGGAGGACGAGGAGGAGGAGGAGGAGGAGGAGGAGGAGGAGGAGGAGGAGGGAGGAGGAGGAGGAGGAGGAGGGAGGAGGAGGAGGAGGAGGAGGAGAGAAAGAGGAGGAGGAGGAGGAGGAGGAGGAGGAGGAGGTGGATGACGACGACGACGACGACGACGACGACGACGACGACGACGACGACGACGACGAGGGCGACGGAACAGGGCGCTCGCAACGGGCGGCTGGAAGGGGGGCGCGGCCGCTTCACTTTTGGGTTCCAGAGTTCCGTTTCGGGGCCCCGGGGCCGCCGTGACTGACTCGGGACGAAAAGCCGGTCCCAGGGGTGCGAAGAATCTCGCGCGTTGAGCGTCGCGGCTGGAGCTGCAAAGCTATCAAACCGCGAAGATAAACCCCGCGTCGCGCATCGCGCGGCGCGATGCGGCGCGAAGGCAGGTGACCTAGAGGATGAAAAACTGGCCCCGAGGAACAGAGTGACCTCTTGTGCGGGCCTACCGGGGTCCCCGACAGCGAAGTGCGATGCGATGGCGGTTTGCTCGCCCACGTCTGGCGCCCCCCCAGAACCCGCGCAAGAACCCGAGGCGCAGACCCTCAGAACGGATATCGGTCCTCGGCAGGAGAGAACGAGAAGGAGCTTGGATGGAATGGCCGAGTAGTTGATTGGAACGGGATGGAATGGACGTATGCGGAAACAGGAACAGGGGCGTGCGGAACAACAACATGCGGATGCGGGATATTTGTGTCTGCATCCCCACGTCCATGGGATGATGGGCAGGCGAGCGAGAGCAAAATCCGCGGAACGAAGAGCGCCAAGGACGACGACGACGACGACGACGACGCCGGCTTCGTTTCGCGGTTTCCGGAAGTTTCTGAAGGCACCCGTCGCCAAGGTTGGACGTGGTCCGCAACATTGCATTCGGATAGTAGCCAGGTTGGGTTCGGGGAGCGATCCTGAGCGGCGGCGGCGACGACGGCAGCGGCGATGGAGCAGGGCCCTCGCAGATCGATGGGCAGCGGTTTCGGCTTCGCTGTCGGTTCTGTCGGTGCGTGTGCGGTCGCTGTGGTCGTTGTGAACGGCCCTGGGCAGGGGGCGCGGTCGCGTTCTACCCGATGTGGCGCGAAGTCATGCTGGAGTGGATCGAGCCCCTGTTCGTGGTGCGCAGCGGCGGTGACAGATGGACCGGCCGCGCCCGAATAGGAGATCCCCAGACATCCAACGTTGTCGAAAATGATGATCCGGACGGGGGACCAAACCATATATATATATATATATATATATATATATATATATATATATATCCCGGGGGACGAGGTCCCCCGGCCGAGCCCAAGGACCTCGGGGGCGCATGGGGGTGCAGGGCCCCCGGAGCCGCTCGAAAGGGTTTCCGTTCGGCTCCAGAGACCGCCAGGGCGGGCTCCAGCCCAGCCAAGACAGCCCGCGAGCGCTCCAACACGCGCCAGCATGGCTTCCAGACGAGCCCAGCGGCCACCAACACGTCCCAAGCGGCCTCCAAGACGCCTCCCAAGAGAGCCCCAAGAGGCAAAAAGCGTTGTTTTTTTTTTCATTGTTTTTTTCAATGTTTTTTGTTTTCTCGCTTTTCCTGCTTTCCGACGCTCCAAGACGGCCCAAGAGGCCCCCAAGAGAGCCCCAGGACGGCCCAAGAGGCCCCTAAGCCGGCCCCAAGACGGCCCAAGAAGCCCCCAAAGGCGTCCCGAGACGGCCCAAGAAGGCCCCCAGGACGGCCCAGGAGCCGCCCAAGACAGCTCCAGGAGGGCCCCGCCATGGCCTGAAGACTGCCTAAGCGAGCCCAGCGGACCTCCAACACGCGCCAGCATGGCCTCCAAACGAGGCCAGAAGCCACCAACACGCCCCAAGCGGCCTCCAAGAGGCCTCCCAAGGAGCCCCAAGAGGCCACAAACGTTGATGTTTCATTGTTTTTTCTATTTGTTTTGCCTTCTCGTTTTTTCTGTTTTCCGACGCTGCCAGACAGCCCAAGAGGCACCCAAGACAGCCCCAGGACGGCCCCAGAGGCCCCTGAGCCGGCCCCAAGACAGCCCAAGAGGCCCCCAAAAGCGTCCCAAGATGGCCCAAGTGAGCCCCAAAACAACCAAGGAGCCGCTCAGGACAGCCCCAGGAGGGCCCCGACATGGCCTGACGACTGCCTAAAAGGCCAGCGAGCCTCCAACACGCGCCAGCATGGCCTCCAGACGAGCCCACAGGCCACCAACACGCCCCAAGCGGCCTCCAAGAGGCCTCCCAAGAGAACCCCAAGAGGCCACAAACGCTGATTTGTGATTGGTTCTTTCGATGTTTTTCGCGTTCTTGCTTTTTTTGCTTTCCGACGCTCCAAGACGGCCCAAGAGACCCCCAAGAGAGCCCCAGGACGGCCCAAGAGACCCTTAAGCCGGGCCCAAGACGGCCCAAGACGCCCCCAAAGGCGTCCCAAGACGGTCCAAGAGCGCCCCAGGACGGCGCAAGAGTCGCCCAAGACGGCCCCAGGAGGGCCCCGACATGGCTTCAAGATTGCCTGAGCGAGCCCAGCGGACCCCAAGAGGGCCCCACGAGGCCGCAAGAAGCCCTCCGAGGCCACCCAGGCGCCCCCCAAAAGGCTCCCCGGAGGCTCCCAAGAGGCCCAACAACTCCTCCCAATACGCCCCAGAGACTTCCAGTATGCCTCCAAAAACTGACCCCGAGAGGGTCATGCGAGGCCCCAAGACAGCCCAATGATGGCCACGCGAGAGCCACACCATACATTATGATGATGAGGAGGCGTAAGTAATGGTGGCGAGGGATGCTGATGACAAGGATGGAAGGGGAGCGAAGGATGAGGAGGACTGGGGAGTGACTCGAGGTGAGGAAGGACGAGAACGAGGTGTAGGAAGAGAAGGAGCGGCAGATTGAAGAGAGCGGGGAGGACATGGAGGAGGCTGATGATGATGGAGGAGGAGGAGGACGAGGAGGAGAGGAGGACGGGGAGCAGTGACGTAACCAGCCCTTAACATTTACGCTCCCAAGAGCGAAGGGTGCCATGAGCCGTCTCGGGCAAGTTCCTTCAGCGCTCTTTCCGTTTCCGTGCACAACCATTGGCCCATCCATGGAGCCATGACGGGGCCCAGGTCAGCGCCGAGGCTGTTCCCGGAGCTTCCAACAAGGTCTCCGAGTTGCACTTCCGCGTCCTGCTCCACCGACCCCGTACCCCATATCGGCTGAAGACATGATGCTGCTGCCTCCGCAGTAGCAGTCAGTATTCTCCTGCTTGCTTTAACGGCATTGCAGGCTGCCATCCATATCGCGGGTCGAGCCGCCGCTCCCTGCACCTCCGCATTCGTGGTCATGGCTCCAGCTGTTACTGAGAGGCCGCGACACACGTGTCATAAGTATCCAATTTGCAGTGGACTCCAAGCTCATATCCCAGTCGAAGGCACCAACAAACGAGAACGTCAAAGATTTTGCAAGCGGTGCCTTTCGGCAGATGCACGGTGTGCCCACCCCCAGTGCGAGGCTCCTGTAGCTCCACCCTTCCGACGGCCAAAAACACATGTCACGCCTACTTTCTGCGCAACGCACTATTCCGACCCATGCCACAATACCACGCGTGAGTGGAACTTGTGTAGGAACGCCCGCGTCGGCTGCCGCCTTCTGGCAACCAACAAATCATCTGGCCCGTGCTTTCCGTGCTCTGAAGGCTCCCTGCCCTGTCGCTTCGCGGTGCTGGGGTGTCCTTCCCACGTCCGGCAAAAGGTCAAAAATGCATCAGGCCGGCTTCCGCAATGCGTTAACCATCACAACATCCATTCTTGCCCCTACAACCCTGGTCGGCAATTCGCCTGCGCATCGCCTGGCTGCCAGGAGGAACGGAGCGATGCAGCCCACAGCACTTGCGTTCCATGCCAAGCCGGACGTCGACCGTGCACAGTGTGCTTCTCGCGCCGAGGAGCGCCCGGAACTCCAGATCTGTGCGCTCACTGTGGCGGAGCCAGCCCAGCCGCCAGCCCTTCTCTAGCCGCTCCAGCGCAGTCTTCGACGGCGCTTGCATCTACGCCCTCGCGATGTAGCGCTCCGAAGTGCGGGGCGCCAGCGGTGCAAGAAAGCACATCTCGAACGGGCGCGCAATGCCCCATGTGCATCTTCCGGCCGAGGACGCGCCCCAGAGGGCCCCAATACAGCCCCAGAGAGCTCCAGGACGGCCCACGAAGGGCCCAAGACGACCGCAAATGTGGGCCCCGGGGCCCAGGGGAGCCCCGGGGCCTCACAAAAGGCCGCCAGAAGGCGCCAAGGAGGCCCCAAGAGGCTCCAGAACAGACCCGGGACGCCCGAAGGTCGGTCCCAGACGCCCAACATGGCCTTCAAGGTGGCCTCAGAAGCCCCCAAGACACCCCAAGCGACCCCCAATAGGGCCCCAAAGAGAGCCCCAAGGGGCCAAAATAGTCCCATTCTCTTTGTAAAACGTATATTTTCAACATGTTGTTTGTTTTCGCTGCCGGTCCGTGCTTGACGACCTCAGAAGCTCCCGAGACCGCCCCAATACGGCCCAGGACGCGCTCCAGAGGGCCCCAATACAGCAGGGGGGGGGATTTTCGGAGGGGGGGGGGACACCCCTGGGCTCTGGAGGAAAAGGTTGGCAATTTTCCAGAGTAAAGCGGCGGTGGATCACGCTCTCTCGTATATGCACATGTATATGCATATGCGTATGTACATGTATATGTACATGTATATGTGTTTGCATATGCATATTCATATGTATGTTTGTGTATATATTTATATATGTATATGTATATGTACATGTATATGCACATGTATGTGTACAAGTATATGTGTATGTACATGTTGATGTACATGTATGTGTATAGGTATATGTATATATACATGTACATGTACATGCAATGCACGTGAATATGTATATATATATATAGATATATACAAAATGTTGTGTGTAGGTGCATCTGTACATAGGCATATGTATTTGCATATGTATGGTTTTATTTTCAAATATAGATGCATGCACACGCGTATGCATACTTATATGTATATGTGTATGTAAATGTATAAGTTTAGGTATGCGTATGTGCATATGCTTATGTTTATGTAGATGTGTATGTATGCGTATGTGTATACGTAGATGTATCTGCATTTCTATATGTATTGACATATGGGCATGTAAATGTATTTGTATACGTATATGTATATGTAGATGTAGATGTAAATGAATATGTACATCTATATCTGCATGTATGGCATATGTAGATGTAGATGTAGATGTAGATGTAGATGTCGATGTAGATGCATATGGAAATGTATATGTATTTTCAGACGTATATGTATATGTCGATGTGTGTATATATACATATATATATATATATATATATATATAGAGAGAGAGAGAGAGAGAGAGAGAGAGAGAGAGAGAGAGAGAGATGTAGATATCCCCGTGCACGAGGCCCGGGCGACCGGGGCCGCGACCACGACAGGGCATGGGAGGACCAGGGTTCCCCAGTCCGCTCCCAGAGCACCCCGGAGCGGCCCTGGAGCTCCCAGGCTATCCCAGAGAGCTCCCAGAAGCCCTCGGGGACTTCGACAAGCCCTTCCAAGACAGCCCTGATAGCCTTAACGTGGTCCAGGATGGGTTCGAGACCGCAAATACACAGCCCAAGAGGCCTCCAAGAGGCCTCAAGAGAGCTCCGAGAAGCATCCCGAGAGCCCGAAGAGGCTCAAATCCTTGATTTCCGTTGGTTTTTGAAATGTTTTTCGGTGTCTCGCGTTTTCGACCTCCCGGCGCTCTACGACAGCCGACGACGCCCCCAAACCGCCGAAAAGACCTCCAACAGAGCACCAAGATTACCCAAGGGAGCCCGAAAATTGCTTGGGACGAGCCTCAGACGGCCCAATAGAGCCCCAGGACAGGCCCATGCTGGGCCCCACAGCGGGAGCGGGAGGCCCCAAGGCGGCCCTGATGGCCCGAACGTGGCCCCAGATGGGCCCAACACGGCCAATACACAGCCCAAGAGCCCTCCGAAATGTATGTATGTATGTGCATGTATGTATGTATGTATGTATGCATGCATGTATGTATGTATGTATGTATGTATGTATGTATGTATGTATGTATGTATGTATGTATGTATGTATGTATGTATGTATGTATGTATGTATGTATGTATGTATGTATGTATGTATGTA